GACCATCAAGCAAAACACCTGTCCCCACCCTCTCTCTTGATGCCCTCAATCAGCACAGGCTAAGTACAGTTATTACTGCCCTTTACTCATATAATAAGAATAACAACATTTCATCCCCCCCCCCCCCACACACACACACATTCAAGTGATTTGTAACCCAACCCCAGCCAAAATCTATCACTTTGGCAACACAGCTCTGTTTTCTGGATTCCTAGGTAGATTAGGAAAAAGAAGAACAGGAGTACTTGTGGCACCTTAGAGACTAACAAATTTATTAGAGCATAAGCTTTCGTGGACTACAGCCCACTTCTTCGGATGCATATAGGTAGATTAGGTGTGAATGTAAATACAATCTGGTTCTGAAGCCTTTTCCCCCAGCCCTTAGCTCATCACTAGCTGTCAGGGAGAGCTCATTTAGACTTTGCTTATAAATCATAATTTGAAATTATTAGGTTGGCCAACATCACCGAAATGAATGTACTGACATGGTCATAAAAAACAACAGCCGTATAAGGAACCTAGTCTATGTTCATACTTTTCAAATCTATTATATTTTTTCAGATACACGTATTTTATCATACACTTTATATGCTTTTAAAGTATGTATTAATGTTTCAATTTCAATTCAAATTTCCAAACAATCACTAAATTGGCAACACTGTATGTAAATAGTTCACAAAACTAGGGGCGGGGCGGGGCGGGGGGGGGTGTTGGGGAAATTCAGGGCAGGCGTAGGAAAATCCCTGTCCGAGTGGCAGATGCTGGAGCAGTGAATTGGTGTGAGGAAAATAAGCACATAACCTGAGATGGGCCATGGTCTGCCGGTAAGATCATAGGACTAGGAGCCAGAAGAACTAAGTCCTATTCCTCATTGTTATTGACACATGGATAATAATACTTATGCACCTCACAGAGGTGTTGTGGGGATTAATTAAGGCTAAACTATGGTCCAATGGATTTCAGTGGTAAAACTCTCATTAGCTTAACATAACATAAGAACATAAGAACAGCTGTACTGGGTCAGACCAAAGGTCCATCTAGCCCAGTATTCTGTCTACCGACAGTGGCCAATGCCAGGTGCCCCAGAGGGAGTGAACCTAACAGGTAATGATCAAGTGATCTTTCTCCTG